AAGCTACTCTGCTTTCTTGGAACTGGCTTCTGCTCCTCCACATCCCATTAATCTTCCAGCCGCGGCCTCCCATAAAGCAGTCCTTCACACCCCCCTGACAGTTGTAGCTAAGCACAGTGTGACCGGCCGTCTCCTGTGGAAAGTTCAATTTCCACTAGAGAGCAGCAAGGCACCAGCTATCTACAAGTTCAAAAGAGAATTCAGCTCAGGGAAAAAAAAAAGAGAAAGAAAAAAAATTAGAATTTTTTTTTAAATGGAAATTACAATTTCTTTTGTGGAGAAGAATTATGTCTTGGGTTCTTTACAGTAGTTCGTAAACATATTCTTCCAACTGAAAAAAACTTTTATTTATGATCAGGTATTAACAGAAAGACTTTTCCTCATAGCTTCCTCTTCAGTCTTCTCTGCATTTTTAATCATTTCCACTGCATTTCTCACATATGCAGAGGAGAAGAAAACCTAGTATTTTAGCACTGGGATGGTGTGGGAGTAGAATGGAACTCAGGAAATAAAGTCTTAGGAGAAAAGCCACCTGGACATCTAGTTGCTACAAGTTGGCTTTACACCTACTCAGTATAGTAAAACATAATTTTGAAATAGGAGTTTCAAGAGCTATCTTATGCCATTCCTCCCTAAGCTTTGAGGATAAAACATAAGGCTAAACAGAAGCAAGTAGGTACTCCAGCATACAAAGATCAACACAAAGACCTTGTGGCTCTCTGATAGATTTCCACTCTGAGATAGTGTCAGTGTCATTTGTAAAGCTGAAAAGGATTACAGGTGGAAGGCATTAGGGATATGGTAACTGTCAGAAAACAATAGTCAGGACCTTGACACAAAATTGAACACATCAGGTTTTTGCATCCAAGTTCTCGCATGCCTTTTTTATTCCCTCTACTGCTACCAAACCACTATTGCTTAAATGGCCACAGATTTCAAATCTAACAAGGGTCAAGGGAACTTTTTGACCTAAGCTGTGAAAACTATGCTTACATCCCAACTAAGCTGTGTTTGAAGCCAAATTTAATACACTCATGTTGTTCCTTTGACAAGTGGGGTCCCTGCTCCCAGGAAGCTCAGGAGCAGCATTAAAATATCCTCAGCTGATGTCAGAACAGACGTCAATTTGACCAAAGGTACAGCTCAGTGATATGGTTCAGGTGACGAAACAAGCTTGCTTTGGCTGAAAGGGTCTCCTCCATCTCTTCCCTGCCAGCCTTTAGATCCACACCCCCTCCCCATTTCATCTTTGATATGCATCAGATCCGTAAGGTTTGAGGGACATCAAACGGCACAAGGGAGGGAGCCAGACGAGGCAGCTGAGAGGCAGGGAGAAGGGAACGTGGAAGATGACTCCCAGCTATTTCTCCCCACCACAGCCCTTACGTTGGCTCCTCTGCCTTGTCTAGCTGTACCATGGGATTCCTTTGGCAGCTAATATAGCTAGTAAACAGCAACTCAATTAGTAAATAGTAAGTCCCAGGTAAAGTGATTTTCTGACAGAGACTGCTCAGACTATTTGGGAGAAGAACTTACGTTTTCCGGGTTTAGCTGGGATTCGGATCACAGTGGGTTTCCGGGGTAAAGCTGGTTGAGCTGTCTGTTCCTTTGCAGGTTCACTTTTGGTGAGGAACTGAAAAGGATCTAAAAGGAAAAAAAAAAACAACCCAACATATTTACTATTTATTTGTTGAACAGATATCTCACTGGGTATTGCTTTCATTATTATGGACATTTATATTTCAGACCCAAGAAAGTCATTTTAAAAAGTATCTATAAATCAGGCTGATGCAAATAGCGCACTCAGCTCTTTGCAAATAACATGTCTTTTCTGTACATCTGCATTCATAGTTGACTGAACATAAACATGCTCCAGATGCCTCCTAGGATTATATAAGCCACTGAACAAGAGGAACTGCATTGCTTGGTAATAGGGACCTGAAATCAGGATGGCTTTAGGGAAACGTTTTCAAAGCAGTTGGCCTAATATGCAGATCAAGGACTGGGAGTCATGCCTGTGCTCTGCCCCTGCCTCTATCGCTCATTCCTGTACAAGCCTGCCCAACCCTTCCATCGGTAGGGCACAGCAATGTTTTCTATGCTTCATAAACTTCAGCACTGGTCTCTTATTAATAGGCACGGGAACATATGTGCATGTAGAAGGCAGCTGTAAAAATACTGGCACATAAATAAAATCTAAATCAATGGGTTCTTTCTCAAGTACACCTTCATGTCAAAGAGCAATACTTCATTTATACCTCTTCTCTGTCATTAACAACTGCTACCTTTTCCTCTGACATTACCAAGAACTGCAGTAAAAGGGCAACGCTTAACAGTATCGTAAATGTGTAAAGTAGAAACAGGAGAAGCACTCTGGACAATAAATTCTCCATGACACATATTCATAGCCCCAACAACCGAGTTTGATCTCCTCTGGCAGCCTTTTTAGATGTGTAGCTCAATGAGATGTTATTTATGGCGTGTCAGAGTCTTAAAGAGGAAGTATGCTAGGCATCTCTTTAAATTCTTCAGGACTTTTTATAAAAACATACCCTTTCCCAAAACTACCACCACACTTTCTGACAAAGTTGGAAGCCCTGTATATGACAAAATTTTATCTTCAATGCTTATTAGAAAAAATTTAAAAATTTACACAAGATGAAGCCATGATTTCTTACAGATAAGTTTGGATAGTATAACACAATGCAGTTCATCAAGACACTAGAAATCTGTGTCTGGGAATATACATAAGATTTAAGAAAATCCAGAAATACAGTATTTATTTATGAACAACCGTATTAAAAAACTTTTAGCTTTTTAAATTACAAGTCTTGATCATTTTAGAGAGAGGGGAAGAAGACCAAGTACATCAAGCTCTGGTTTTGGGGTTTTTTTTAACCAAAAATAGGCTCAAAGTAATTTCAGAGAGAGAAAACGCTGTGTAATATCGCGGTGCTGAACTACAGTGTCATGGACTGCCCTCCTGCAGGCACAAGACTTGGTGGGCACAGCTCCCCCAGCCCCTGCCACTCCTCTTTGCCGGGCGCTTTTGGCTGCAGCCGAGCCCCCTCTTCCCAAGCCCCCAGCTCCCACTGCCAGGGCACAGGTGTAGGAACAGCCGAGATGGCACATCACAGGGATGCTTGGATGTCCACCTCCCACTAGCTCCTTGCTCGAGGTTCTCCTCGTAGTTGTACCCGTCACGTACAGGTGTGCCATGGGGGTTTGTGCCATGGTCTCTCTCAAAGTCAAGACATCTCCCTGCCTACAGGCTCCCCAGAAATCTGCCTGGGTACCTTCATATCACATTTTAATCATGACTCAAAGCACATCCATTCCTTCTGTCAGGCTGCTTGTACAACAGCTTTGAGTGTCCACTTCAGCTAAGAAAGGATCATGACAGGTCAACGCAGCAGGACCTCGACGCAGCAGGACCGCAGCGAACAGGCCAGCACCAGAGCACCTCTCAAGGTAAGGTGCTGCTGAGGTTAAGGAAGATCTGCATGAACAATGAGGAAACAATTTTTCAAAGCCTCCATCTTATAAAAATAGAGACATGATGAGACCAAGTGGAAATGCTCTAAACACCAAAAATAATCACAAATCTGTATTCTTGTGAATATATGGGAGATTTAAAATTGTACAAAATTACTTTTTGTCAGCTGTTGATCACTGCTATGTGTAGGAATGGTTTGCTCGATCATTCGATGGTTGGCAGAGGTCTCTACATCAATAAATCTGAGAATTAACTTTTAAGTCTGAGAAAAGGCATTTCTAAGGCTGAGAAAACCATTCAATGAACCTTAGTTTTCCACTCATTATCTTATGTTCAATTATACTGCTGTCACCTTATAATTAGTTTAAAACTCATTACCTTGTTTGTGTTATTCCATTCCCCAGTGCTGGTTTTCCAGCAGAAATTGGCTGAGTAAATGACTGTGCTGCTTTGTGCAATGGGACTGACAGCATATCAAATTTTTATGTTGTTTAACAACAATTGGGCATCATTTGAGCATAATTCAAGGAGGTGTGAAAACAGAATTGTTAATATACTCATTTAAAGCTTCTCAGCTCAAGGAAATTAATCTGCAAGGTATTTTTCATCACACATATCAACAGACTCCTATCAATTTTTTTTTTATTAAACTTTTACAATGATGCTTAAAGCCTGTGTCTTCCTCAGTCTCACTTTTCTACAGCTTCTGTTTCAAAGGTTTATGTGATAACATATATTACTGTGCTTATTCGCAGCAAAGACAAATGAAAGCTGAGTATTCAAATATACCATATGTCATATCTTTCTTTTACCACTTTAGGAGAGACAGCTTTTTTTCCCCCTACTCTCATTGACCATCCTTATTTAAAATAAAAAATTAGGAGGTTACAGAACAAACACTAGGTTTTGCCCATGTAAGTAGGACAGATAGATATCTTCCTGAAATATTTATTGGTAGCCTTTAAGTAGGTGGTAGTAAGAGCCTAGCCATCAGTACGACAAAAGTGCACGAAGTCAAAGAACTATGTACCCTTTGACATTCTCTGGAAAGTATAGGGGAAAAATTGCTGAGAGCTGCAATAGAAGATCCAACCTAAACGTATGTGTTGGAAATGCAAGATGTCCTTAACTGAGCAATGAAATATCTCATCCACAGTGTTAGAAAGTTGGAGAGCAGATTAAAAAAAATCTGCTACTAGAACAGCAAAAATTCTTGGGCTATTGTAACACTGAATGGTAATACAAGCATTTATGGGGTGGAAAACTACAGTGCTACATTGTACACAGAGACAGAAAGAAATGGACCTCTTCTGAGCTTTCAGCAGGTCTCTCTCCAGCTGTGGGAATGCCCACACTTACTACCCGTGTGTATCTAAAAGCACAACCGTTTAGTTCATTGCTAGCTTGTCCATACTACTAAAGGTGATAGTAATTACACTGCCCTTGGCGCAAAAGGTCTGCTTATACCAGCACGAGCTAGTATGTGAGAGTTTGGAGGCTATTCCTACATCATTAACCTATTTTGCTAGTTGAAGTAAGACTAGGATAGTTCAGATCGCAAGGGCCTTCAGAAGGTCTCTAATCCAACCTCCTGCCCAGAACAGGTCAGCCTTGAGGTCGTGTTGTTAGGAACTGGTTGCATAACCTGGTCTAACTTCAAAAATTGGATGCCAGAGGGTATTCGGACATACAGCAGGTGACAAAAAAAACAACCCCCCAAATGACCCTGGAAATTAAGAAACAGAGCCTTGTCCATTCTTGCCAGGTGAATGAATCGTTGTTCACCGGCAAGAGATTCAAGTGCCCCAAAACAGGCAAGCTGGAAATCTCCAAAGCAGAGGACTGGTGATGGAAAGCAGTAGGGCATACAAAATCTTTTTAATGAAAATGTGAAGGACAAGGGAATTCATAATGTTGTTTAAAATACCTATCTACCTTCTTGCAAGAATCTCACATGCTTTCAGCAAAGGAAAAAAAATAGGTTTATTTATAAACATTTCTTTTAAATAAGCATTTTGTTGTCCTTTGACAATCTTTCTGATTAGAGGATATCTGCACTTTAAGTGTTACTGTAAAATAAACAGATTTAATCATCAGAGAAGACAGTTATTATTAAGAACATTATTACTTGTGTTACCACTTAGCAGCATCTATAGAAATGCAACTCAAAAGCAAATTCATTTGCATTTGACAACCTAAAGGGCTCCTCATCTATTACGTAGCTATGATTTAAAAACCTTATTTGTTTCCTGAAACTCAGTATAAGGCCCTCTCCTGCGGTAACAGTGGAGTCGCTTCCAATCTTCAGGTAAATCTCTTTTTGTCAGGGGTTTAAGCCAAACAGCAGATTAAAATGGATGAAATAGCTCACTCTTTTCTGGAGATTATACTTTTGGCAGTAAGTAAAAAAGGAGACAGGTAACTTTAAAATAACCACAACAAGAGTCATTGGAAGAAGCACAGCAGAACCCTAAGAAAAGCTGCATCATTTTGAAGATACATCTGGACTAATCTACTGGTTAGAAATATTTCATTTTTTTTCTTTTCCTTCCTGAGGAAGCAATTAAAAACAAGCAGCTGGGCAATATCCCCGCAGCAGACAAATTTGGAGTTAACTCAAGCAGCAGTTTTTCTGAATTGACTACAATGTCATACAAATTCCACCATTCACGCCACAAGAAGGAACAATACATATAAATGGATAGCAGCACTGGTTTGGTTGGGATTTTTCTCACCATACAGGCAGAAATGAATTTTTATACTGCAGTGAAGTAGTTAGATAGATAGATAGATAAAACAATTAAGAAATGCAGTAGCCGTATTGCTGTTCGAATTGAAATACAGCAATATGATGAAGATATCAAGAGAGCGAGCTCTGTCCTGCTGGTAAGGTAAGGCGCTCTCTGAATTACTTTTCAAAGCATTTGGTTTAAATTGAGTTCTGGTATATCAGGCATAGAGAAATCAGTGAATTATATTGTGGAGAGAGAGAGAGAGATGAATAAATCTCCACACGCGAAAAGAAGTGAAAATATTCTAGCAAGGTCACCTCCAGGTTTCAGTTTAAATGTGTGCTTTAGATGCACTGTTATGTTAGTTTCTTTGTCCAAAACATACATTCTCAGAACATTTAGCAAGCAGGCACACTACACACTTTTAACATAACAACTAACACAAGTTATGGGTAAAATCATGGATCTTCTGAAGCCATGGAATTTAAACTCGGTTCAACTTGCACTAGGATTTCATTTCCAGGCCTTTGTAAAAATGCATTAGTGAGAAGAGAGCCCACCTGACAGATCATCGAAACTTTTAACCTTCAGGAACTGCACAAATCCCTGTTATCAGCTATAAGAGAAATGTAAAAATACCCTAGATGATCCAAAATACCACAACTGTCATCAAAGCATTAGCATCTCAAGATTTAGAGTCCCAAACAGATGCCTTCACATTCTAATTACTCCTCCTTGAGCAGGAGTAATTTCATTGGGATACAAATGGCTTTGAACATTATCTCCAGCCTTTGAGTCCAAAATTATGGCACTTAAAACTGGCATCAATTTTGGCTGCTGATGAAAGGAGCAGTTCCACAGATTTGTCATTCCGGACTTCTCCTTCCTGACACTTCCCTTGGGTCAGCATCAGAGACACAACTTGGATGCAAGGTTCTGCCACAGTTCAGCTTTGAATCTCCGAGCTGTTGAGCTCCAAAGTGCCCACAGGCTTCAATTGGCAGAGCGGATGCTGAAAGCTTTGAAAGGGATCTCGGTACTCAGAGTCTCTGTTTGCACCAGAACGGTTCCCCCTCTCTGTATGGGTCGGCCAAAGATAAAATCATTAATGTTTGCATAAGGGCACGCTCACTCTACTAACAGCTGTGCTGTCGCAGATGCTGTCAAACACCAGTGAAACCCATGGGATTGCCTGAGTTAACTTGAAAGAAAATCATCCAGCTAGCTTTGGTAGTTAAACTACCAGTTAAACACTGTCAGTTAAACTGGTGAAACTATGAACTGGTTTGTTGCCAACACTGTTGATCTTAGCACATAAATAATATTCAAATACCTTTCACTACTGTGGAGATGGTAGACTTCTGTTAGAGGAAGCTGATGTCTTATGTCAGACAACTAAATTGCTGCGGAGACTCAGAATTTGTTTTGCCTGCATCATCTTTTCATTCATGCGCTCACTTCAACTTCTGCGCCCTCCCCATCACCAACTGAACCCTTCACCTTCTTACTTTCGCATGAGGTGTTAGCAGCAGCAGTGATCGATCCGTCCAGTTCTATTTACATTAGTCTAAGTACCAGGTGCATTTGTGCTCTGTCAGAAAAAATACTAACTTTTGTGAATGCTGTAATCTGTGATGTAACACTGCTCTTTGACAAACAAGCTGTTGGTGCTCAGTTTCAAACATCACTACATATAAGCCTTTCCTAGGGTTGCCATAACAACAAGCAGAGCACTGTCATTTTGCTAACTAATGACAATGACAAATATCTAAGAAATGCAAAGGTCTGGGGAACTGGGAGCAAGATTAGAGCTTCTCCTCCTGCCTTTACCAAACATTTTACTGTGGATTCATCTTGCAAATCCTAAGCTGTTCCTATGGGAACATGAGAAATAGCTAGTGTTAGAGCTCTGTGTTGCCTCATTTTTCAGAAAGCCAGTGTTCTTCTTGTGGATGCTTTGTCAAGACATAACATGGCATTAGTAATCAAGAGCACAGGATCTGATCTTGAACTCACAAATGCCTGCAAAAATCTGGAATGAATCCTAATTTTACAGTGTAATAAAGTGATAATGCTGTCAGACCTTTTTCTCTTTAGTAGGTAAGAAGGGGTTGCAGCAAAGGTGCTGTTTTATTGAATGAATAAAATCATGGACAAGTGACTCAAGAAGCCAGGAAACTATTATCTGAATAATTCTTCTGTTAACCATGAGAATGGAAAGTATTTTCTTCTTAATTAAATCAAGAATAACACCTAGGAACACCAACCAGAAAGATGAAGACTGACATTCTTACCACTTCGTCATGAAAGCTGTTTTTCAGGTGATTTTCACTTGGGATCACTCAACCTCTAATTTACCAGAAGAATTAATGTTATTTAATTTTTCCAGGCTGGGGGAAAGGCAGTCCTTCAGCGTACATAGCCAAAATATCATTTTCCTTTTTATGTACTTTCAAAATTTAAGTATTCTCTTTTCTTGCCTATTACTTAGAACAGTTACATTTTCCCTCTGTTTGTTGCATCTATTAATCAAAATAAAATGACCGAAACTAGAAGTTTTACCCTAAACGCATGGAAGACAAGAGTCATCCCGTTCTTCTAACTTTCTTCTAAAACCATCACATGCGCAGTGGCTGTTCCACAACTCCAGTTTCCAGACACAACGACAATGACTCTGCTCCCAGCTAGACCCTGTCAGTCATACACTTCCTTGATACGAAACGCCTCTCCAGTCACCCCATACTCCTACCTCCTTCCAGGCTCGGTACAGCTTCTGCAGTCTTCTTGGGATCTGTCAGTCCAAGAAAAAGTGGACTTGTATCCATATGGAGCTAATCACCTCTCCTGGAAGATTTTCTGTTGCCTTATTTCACTGCTTTCATAAGCTCCCCTGAGATCTTTATGTCTGTACATACCGATCTAAATAGTTTAGGGCTTCAAGGGACTTTCTACATTGGCGTGGGGTTTTTATGCCAATACAGAGGAGAAACAATAACAAATTGGAACTTCATCTAACGATATAATCCACAAACTGTGAAGAAACCACATTTGTTATCAATCATTAATAACGATTTACTGTGACAACTACACAGTATCCACGCTTCTCTTTTCCGAAAGCTGAGATGTTTAATGATAAACGAGGTTAAAACAAAAAAAGATGAAAAATCATAGTTAGTCCCTTAAACAATCATTTTGCATGACACACCATCTACTTTAAAGCAGAACTCTCCCTGGATTGCAATGGGGCTGGTAAGCTAAATCAGGACACACTTGAATATTAAGAGGGAAAAATTTATTGCCATAAAATTTAATGACAGCCCAACACCCACCTGCATCTTAAAACTACCTAAAACAGCATTAAAAAATCAACCCCAAGAGCTTAATGGAATCAAACAAGGTTTATGAAAGGGATGTAGTTGTAGTAATTGATCTGTCCATATGAATGAATTATTTTCACTTATTAGAAAAAGTTGTATAACAAGCATATAGTTGCATGACAATACAAGATACAAAGATAGGAAAGAGAAAATAAGTAGGCACTGGTGAGAAGGACAGAGAATCCCAGTACGTTTGATCACAAGTTTCTCTAAATGAACAAACACTGCTGCTTCTCTAGAGGATTAGATGAACAGGTTTCCACTACAGAACTTCAGGCACTCGAATAAATTAGTCAGATTAGATGGCGAGAGATAAGATGTCCCAAGTTCCCCCGAGAGAATTGTGATACGTTCTGGAGGTGACATCTAGTGTACAACATCAAGTCTTTTATCACTATTTTAGTAACCACGTAATAAATCCAGCAGGCAAGTTCTGAGATTTATATAGCTTTGAAACCTCCCGAGTCTCAAAATCCAAGTAATTTCATAGGGATCTTGACATAATAGAAAACCAAGAATTTCATGTACACACACAGCCCCATCAAGACAGGCAGACGTAACTCACACAGGATCATACACCTGCAAAGAGTAACCACAGTGACAGTTTAAAAAAAATTCCTTCTTACCTGCTGCTGCTTCAGAACTGACGCTATCTTTAACTACACATGCTGGACTTAGGGGCAAAACGTCATCATCAAAACTGATCAGATCTCCTTCCACATCTAGTTTATTTTGCAAAGCAGATGCTGAGGAGGTGGGTGCAGGTGACAATTCCCCCAGAGACTTGAAAACTTTTTCTTGGGCAGACACGGAAGCCCGTGGGGGAGCAGCAATCGGTTTGAGTGATGCCAAAGAAAGGGCAGGATTTTCTGTGGAACGTGACTTTTTAGGAACAAGAGGCCTTGGAGCAGGAACAGGAAATTTCTTTTGTCCATCGCTGTTCTCTGCAACTGATCCACTCTTTGTATCAAGAAAATCACTACTGCTACTTTTAACAAGGCCAGGTTTTGGCTTCTTTGGCAGTTCAGGTTTGGTTACAACAGTGCTCCCAACTACTTCAGGTTGAGGCTGCAATTCCTTGCAAGGCGTTGATTTGCTTTCTGTCCATGCATCCCAGTCTCCTGAAATTCTGCTTACCCCTGGCTTTGGAGCAACTACTGGCTTCTTTGCAGTAACAGGTCTTGGGGTGAATGAACGAGGAGCAATTTCTGGCTTTTTTGATAATCCTGAGGTATCATTAGTTCCTTGGGATTCAAAAACTTTGATCCTTGAAACAATACTATTTTGGCTCTTTTCTGTACTCATGCTGTCCATCGCCAAGGGATTGTCTAGTAAGCTATCATCTAAGAGAGGTGACTGCTGAATTGGAGGTTGCTGCCTTTTTGTGGTAGACTGGTTCACTTCTTCTCCATTGTCTATCTTACTTTCAGTATTTTTGACCACCGGTCTGAGATTGCTTCTTGATCTTGGCTTTGGCACAGGACATATCACAGCATTGGGATTTTCTTGGCACCTCTGACCTTCAGAAATTTCAAAGACTATTAAGGGATTCTCATTTTCTGAAGGAGATCTATTCAGGAGAGATGCAGAAGGCCTAGGAGGTTTAGGAGGACTCTGCCCTGCTAACAGAAAAGGTTTCAGTTATCCATTCCAGAATACTTTGTTATTTTTTGTCAGCCATCAGGATGCTAAACATGATGGTTTTCATTCAGAACTTACTGCTGCTTCTGAAACTGCAGTTCTCTTTTTAGAAAGATGAATGAAAAAAATACACGACCTCTAGGAAGAAGCTGAAGATTGCTGAAATGCATGGCATCTACATGTTGGGAGTTCAAAACCACTTGTTAGCTTGCAGCATGAGAGGCGTGCAAGCAACATCTAGACCAAAGAATAGCACAGTAACTTTCTCAGCTTGGTTTGCACACTTTTCAGTTTTCATGTGTAACACTGCTGCTGTTCTGATTGGACATCAGAGCTGCTCTGGCCCCAAAGCAATTGCCATTATGGTTGAATCAAGTGACACTTTCAAGATTTAATTATAGTCTGACTATGAATGCAATGGTAGTTCTTCAGAAGAGAGGATTTTTACAGAAATTTACAGCAGTAATCATTCACAGAAATTTAATTGTTATTCATATTAAATGCTGCACAGACCAGCAATAAAGAACATCTTCAGGAGACAGAGTAAGGTTTTCATCAATGAGAAATCTGAAACAGCCTCACCTGGATAGCCTGCAGATCCCCAGTGTGTAGGCACACTAGTTTTTACATTACTTCCTGGCAAATGGCTGATTAGTTCCTCTGGAAAGTCAGTTTGTGTTGCAGAAGTAGTGGTATGTCTAAGAGCAGCAGCATTATTGTTATTTGTTGTGTTGACTTGCACTTGATTGATTTCTTTTATCACCTGCTCATACGATGGTGGAAGCTACAAAACAGAGCGATAAATATTAATGTACATCCAGATGCGATCCTTTAAAAAACAAAAAGAAGCATATAAATTTTAAAATACCAAATTAACATATGCAGAGGAAAAGAACACTGTCATAGTCTTTTATTCAACGTCATGAAAGTCTAAGCAAGCAAAAACTCTGTTCCTCTCTAACTTAATGTGCTTTTTACCTTTGTAAATCAAACACACCTCATGTAGATTCATGCTCACCTCAGCTGGAATACGCTCATTTCTCCTCCACTGAGCATGAGATGAAGCAGAAGGGAATCCTAATCCCTGAGGAGTGACAGGGCTTGCACCTGGAAACCAGGACGATGGCCGGATTTTTTTTTAGCAACTATTGTAATTTCAGGACGCCTAGAAACGAACACAAAGGGGAATAATTACCGCAAACTTTTTAAAATAGTTCTTTTAAGTATAAAAGGCCAAGGTTTTCTCGGCATGGGAAATTAAAACAGCTCAAGTCTTTTTGATTTAACCAAAGATGTTTTTCCATGATTTCAAAGTAACTTACCTGACCTTTCTAACAAGCACTTAGGCTTCCATTCAAAGCACCTAATTAAATGCCTAAGCCAAAAAGTAGGTTTATTGGCTTCAGTGAAATAATTTACATGCTTAAAGTACTTAAAGACAACTGTAACTCAATTAGATGGAAGAAGTCTTAGTCTTTATGGGATAATGAGAACTAATCATGTGTTTGCCCTCAGCCTGCTACAATATGAAAACAGTAGGACAGTTTGAAACTGCTTCTGGCTGGCTACCTAAAAGCTTGTCTGTCCTCGGAGCTCAAGGGAAGCCTCCCGCTGTGCTAAAGTGGGGCAGAGCAAGCCTCAGGAGGCCTTTGGAATGGGGCCGATTTGCTTACGGCATCTAGTACAACAGGGACAGCCGTGACAGAGTTAAGGACCCGTAGGTACGACCCCTGCTTTGTCACTGGAACAACTGCTTTACAGCATAAGCTGCAGCGATGGCCCACCTTCCCAGACCATGGCCCCCAGAGTACCACTGACAACCTAGAGTCCCACACAAAATACGTTTTGAGAAAGGAGTTTTGTGAGTAGATGAAGCAGCCGCTACAGAAGCCTTTGTCTGCTGACAGAAAAAACCTGCAGACATGTAACTTCTAAAGCTATTGTAAAAAGAATTAAAAACAGAGGGCTACAGTTCCTTCACACCTGAAATAATGGCAGATTCGGTTCACCAGCTATCCAGGTTGGTGACCTCCTTTCTCAAAACCCTTTGAGAAACTAGAAGGAGCCCTGAAAGTGTGCTTATTTTCATTGTGAAGTCATCCTGTAAATGTCAGGAAAGCAAAACAGTTCTGTAGAGGTTTGATGGTTGGTTGGGTCCTTTTTTTTTGAGGACACATACAAAAGTTAATGAGAAAACTCCTCAAACTCTTAACCTACCCTGTGCTTAAGAGTCACAGTATTTTTATTTTATTCCAAGTCTAATTTATTTTTAAACCCACTAAGGATAGAGAGAAGGAAAAAAAATAAACTAGAGGAGAAAGCCATAAAAAGTAATACTGTGACACAATCTAACAAGTTGTACAGTAACACCTAGTTGTGATATAAATAACATCATCATACCTTCTATCCCTCTGCTGATCGCTATGGCTAGAAGTCCGAGAAGCTATTTAAAGAAAAGAAAAAAGTTTTGAAGAGGTTAAAACATACTGTCACAGCAATAAGATGAGGATAATAGCAGAGCCCTTACCAATCCACCATCAATGAAATGGAGAACATATAGCATCTGATCATAAATTCTAGATTTTAAGAGTGGCCAAGTGTAAAAAAATAAACTATTTGTAGTAAATATGAGAAACTTTTAAAAGGTTTAGGATGCAGTTTCGTAGTCAGTTTAAGTCACTCTATGTCCAAGTTACCACCAAGAGAGATGGTCCTGTCCCCTTTCTTCTTCCTCCTTGCCACACGTTCCTGCATTTTGCATTGTGGTGACCCTGAAGTTGAAATTTCTTTTTCTTTTTCTTTAGTTAAAACAATCCATGAATAAAACAAAAAGAAGCGTTAAACACGTCTGGCTTTGCTTTTGATGGCTCATTTCTGAGATGTTTTCTTTAATCTTTTTTTAATGTCTCTTTTTGTTTGTTTTAGAGAAGGGAAAAGTACTAAGGCACAAAATCTAGGAAGCTATTTCACCCTCCTTTATGCAGAAAGAAAAAATTAAATGTTCCCAGCTAGAAATTTCCTAAAGTTTAATAGCCTGTGGATTAAAAGTCAGCAACATTTCTTTTTTTTTTTTCCAAACCATCTGTTTAAAGTTACATAAAATACGTGAATCCCGACCTCTCCATTTTTCTATTTTTGCCATATTTATACTCAAATAATTTTTTCAACGGCCACATTACATTTTCATTTTGATTTCTTTAGAGAGAAAAGGAAATTATCCAAGGGACAAATTCTTGCATAGCAAGTGCAATTTAGGAAGTGGCAGAGTCTCATTGTGCAAAAGCTGACAATTACGCTGTTCCTGTGCCATCACAGAATCATTAGCTGAAATCAGCAAAGCATACTTGATTCAAGAGTTGCATAGTGTCGTGTCAGACATACCTCTTCCACAGGGCATTTTTGATGTGCACTATTCATGAGTGCTAGAGGAAAAAAAGAAGGGGTTACAGAAGAGGAAGAGGAGGTGAAGGAGAACAAACCAAGGCTTCACAGTGCCAGAAACCACGGTCAAATGGGTTAGTGACGCAAGGCTAGCGCATGTGCCCGTGTTGTAAGAGGACAACTCTAATGTCTACTCACAAGATAGTGTCTTAAAAAACTAAAATAAAAGCAGATTTTATTTCTAGCCTCATGCTGATTTTAACTGGCTGTTTAGAAGTTTCCCTTGCAACAAATTAACCATGAAGAACATAACTGAATATGGAAATGTCCACTATATGGCTCAACAAAAAGCCACTCTAGGAATGAGGAGAGGGAAGTCAAATCTCTTGGAAGGCTTTATTTAGTTTAAAATCATGGTTTATTTGGGTCTGTGCTTTTTCCCTTCCAAAAAGAATGGGTTACACTGAGGAGCTGATACGGATGCAAAGAAGGTGGGATCCCACAATTTATACTCCCACCTACCAAAGAGATACGGGCAGGCAGGTTGATCCCAGTAAGAAGCACACCTCAAAGTTTCAGGCATTATTGCACATCTCCTAAACCAGTTCTGTAAAAATTGTTTGGCTAAAATAAGTAAATAAAAATCCCCTACATCTCACCTTCATCTTCTTCTTCAGAGATCTTAATACAGCTTTGATATAATATATACATTAAAGAAAAAAAAAAATATCAAACTGACCCAAACCAACCAATTCCAAGATTACTTTTGCAAAGACGATGAAAGAAAGTGTTCATTTGGTAAGTGTATAACTGCCTGGAGTATAGCCAAATTACAATGATAAGGGCATTAGAAATAAAAGCTGATTAATTAAGGGATGTAAAACTGAATTTATAAACCTGTCCAACTCTTTCATTCTTTCTTCATAAATTCTACCTGCTGTTTTTTCTTGTGAGACACTAAATGTACTTCTATTTGTTAAAGTCATTAAAACAAATAATAAAAACCTAAAAAAAGTCTGAAAGATCTTTTTCCTTTCTTAACATAGGCAAAACAACTCCAATGAGGCATCTACGTAATCCATTAAACTCCAAATTTCAGGTAAACAAGTAAACTCACTTGAAAACAACACATTTAAAATATTTATATAAAAATAACTTTACTAGTAGATACAAATACGTCTCTTCAAAAGGGTTAATATCCAAGCCACCACAGATGTTTTCAGAATGTGCCCATTCTGTTTGAAAAAAATAAAAAATCTCCCAGGTATTTATGGAATCAAACTACGTCCATG